AATGGTCAAGGACAATGGTGGCAGAAATGATCACATCACTAAAGAGAGACAATACTTCCTTTATTTAATAAATAAATTGGTTTAAAATGCAAAACAGGTTTGATTAACTCACCACCACCCAATTTATTCAGCACATTTAAGACAGTTTTATTTAACTAATTTGGAAAATGTAAAAGGCTGGGTTAGGAGATGTTTAATTGAATGCTGATCTCCAAATTGAAATCCTGGCCCACATTAGCAAACTTTATAAATACCCCACTTCTCTGCTCCCCATCTCTCCCTACTCTAGCCCGTACATTGCACAGAGATGAGGGTTAGACACAGAGCTCTGAGTGGTACTCACACCTTCTCTGTCCACTCTACTCCTCACATCACCTGCCTTGTCTTCATGGCAAAAATCAAATTGTGGTAGGACACAACAGACTCAAACATTAAAGCTGCTGATCATAGAATCATAGGATAATACAATGGGAAGGCACCTTGAGAGGTCATCAAATCCAGTCCCCTGCCCTCACACCAGGACCAAGCACCATCTAGAACATCCATCTATCTAACCTGCTCTTAAATATTTCCAGAGATGGAGATTCCACAACCTCCATAAGCAACTTATTCCAGTGTTTAACCACCCTGACAGATAGGAAGTTTTTCCTAATGTCCAACCTAAACCTCCTTTGCTGCAATTTAAGCCCATTGCTTCTTGCCCTATCCCCAGAGGCGAAGGAGAACAATTTTTCTCCCTCCTCCTTGTGACACTCTTTTAGATAACTGAAAACTGCTATCATGTCCCCTCTGTCTTCTCTTTTCCAAACTAAACAAGCCCGATTCTTTTAGTCTTCCCTCATAGCTCATGTTTTCTAGAACTTTTAATCTTTTTGTGGCTCTTCTCTGGACCTTCTCCAATTTCTCCACATCTTTCTTGAAATGTGATGCCCAGAACTGGACACAATACTCCAACTGAGGCCTAATCAGTGCAGAGTAGAGCAGAATTATTTCTCGTGTCTTGCTCACAACACTCCTGCTAGTGCATCCCAGAATTATGTCTGAGGTTTTTTTTGCACAACAGTGTTACACTGTTGACGCGTATTCAACTTGTTGTCCACTGATTCACATTTATCACAACTTTGCAGCACGGATCATACATTCCCTATATCGGGGATTTAAACTTTGTTACTCACACATGAGCATACTCTTCAACATCCCTTCCTGTTTCGTACACCGGTAGTTCAAGGCTGCTATAAAATCCCCCCTCAATCTTCTCTTCTGCAAGCTAAATAAGCCCAAATCCCTCACCCTCTCCTCTTAAGTTATATGTGCCAGCCGCCTACTAAGTTTCAGAGCACTCTGCAGGACTCACTTCAATTTGCTCACATCATTTCTGTACTGCAGGGCCCCAAAATCACTTCCCTAGTTCTTACAAATACAACATAATATGCCATTAGCCTTCCTGCCAGCAAGGGCATACTGCTAAGTCCTATCTAAATTCTGGTGCACTGTAATCCGGTCCTTTTCTGTAGAACTGCTGCTTACCAGTCAGACTTCATTGCAAAAACCTGAGCAGGGATAATGCCATACAGATTCAACTTCTCTAGTCCAGCACTATGGTGCGGCAAAAGCTGTGGTCCGAAATTATTTTAATTAGCTGAATGTCCAACTTTCCCAGAGTCCCATATATAAACTTTATGAGACTGCAGAAAGTTGGCCACACACATGATAAGACAACATCTGGCTAACTAATATCATGCCAGACTAGAGAGGTTCAACCTGTACAACTATGATTGTCAGTTTATTAAATTTAAATGAGCTACAAAGCAATATTAAGAGACAGAGAAGGGATCTCTGAGCCCCACACTCACTATTAATGGAATTACCATTTGAGTGAAGCTTGAGGATGCCTTCCAAGGATGAAACAACTAAAACTGACCTATTTCATCCTCTGTCTCATTTTCCTTTTTCTGTTTAGCTCAGCTAAGATTCTTTTCTCTGCACTAAGTTTGCATATTTCACACCTAGGTGACACTGCCCTGCAGCTCTGGGACAGCATAAATGTCCCATGTCACTGGTGACAATTTGCTGATCTGCATCACGCCAGGCAGACCCAGCAAGATGGTTTCACAAGCCCAACTCCTCTGGGTCCCAGGAAAGAAACAAATGAAGGGGGCGTGGGATTAGTGATGCTACCATGAGCCACAGAAAAACTTAACGGCTCTAGGAATGTTCTGTGTGAATCCATAAACATGAGTTAGTGATATTAACTTCAGAGAAGTGTGTCTCCTTTGCATTGGAACTGCGAGGGAGATAGTAGCAATGGAGAACAGCTTGGAATGAAACAGCACCTCAAACTTAATGTTAGTATCAGTGTCAGAGGATAACCTGTTGTAAGTATGTAAAGAGGCATATTGGAAAATATACCAAATCAATGGATGGCTCATTTTCATTGACTATATTAATGGCATAATGCCTATAGGTCAGAAAGAGAGGACACATGCATACACTAATTTATATGCTGTTTCTTAATGCAGACTCCAGTGGGCAGATCGTGCTGACTCAGACTCCAGAATCCCTGGCAGTGTCTTCTGGAGATACAGTCACTATCCACTGCCAAGCCAGTTCCAGCCTCATCTATAGCAGCAATCAACGCCTAGCCTGGTACCAAAAGACATCAGGACAAGCGCTGAAACTCCTTATCTATTATGGAAGTTCCCTGCATTCCGGGGTCCCCGCCCGGTACAGCAGCAGTGGGTCTGGCACAGATTTCACTCTCTCAATCAACAGGGTTGAAGCTGAAGATGCTGGAGATTATTACTGTCAGCAGTATTGCAGCTCACCTCTCCCATTGATACAGACCTATGCCAAAATCTCCGCACTCTGCTCTTTTCAGGGTTAAAGCTACTTCTTAGCCACAGTGTAACCACTATCGACCTTTCAAAGAGAGTTGTGAAAAACCTATCAGCACCACAGACTCCTTCTGCTCCCCCTGCTCAACCATCTGATTTTGTTGGCTCTTTCCCAAAACCAGTGTCCAAACTTCTAGCACCACTATTGACCGAATTCCAAACAGCAGCAAAGGACCTGGCCTTATACTTCAGCTTCTCAGTGAAGGAGAAATCAGTGATATGGAGCCTGAGTATCCCAAGCCAGTCTTCATTTATTCACACATCTACCCAGACCTGGGTAAGAGCTGATCACAAGCTGATCACAACCCATCTCTCAGGAATCCATCCCAACACCATTGTCTATAGATGGCAAAGCTGCTTCAAGAATTCACTGTAATCTGACAGCAAAGAAAATCTCCTGTTTCTTACACAGCTCCCTTTCCTCACAATCCTGTATAACCCAAACCAGCAATACCACAGTATGTCTTCCCAAAACTACACATTTGCTCAGATACTCAGAACACTTGAAAGAATGTACATAATAGCGCCACCTGGTGATTCCTCCCCTAACATTAACGCACTGCAGGATATTGTCCAGCCAGACAAACTGTTAAAAACATTTATTTCCATTGAGAAATGTTCATTATACTGGCTCAATTGGGGATTACTTTTTCCTACAATAACAATCCTATTCCCTGGTTTCCACAACATTTCTTTTCTTGCCATCTTGTAAAACTTCTGTGGGCAATTAAGGATTTAATCAAAGGCAGTTCTCTTAGGGTATGTCTACACTACCCTCCTAATTCGAAATAGGAGGGTAATGTAGTCATACCGCAATTGCAAATGAAGCCTGGGATTTGAATTTCCCGGGCTTCATTTGCATAAAGCCGGCCGGCGCCATTTTTAAATGCCGGCAGTTCGAACCCCGTGCCGCGCGGCTACACGCGGCACGGAGTAGCTAGTTCGGATTAGGCTAATACCCTTAGTGCTTTATTAGCAGCATTACCACATGGACAGGCTTGGAATAACAGACAGGGAGAAACTGAGCAGTTGTCAGGTTGACAAGTAAGCCAATATAGGAAAAAGCTCAATAACATATAGTCCCCCCTTTTTTCTCCACTACAGCTCATCTGAGGAACTGAGTTGTGCCCACGAAAGCTCAAGATACTATGTATATTTTTGATATTCTCTAAGGTGCCGCAGGACTACTCGTTTTTAAAGTTATAGACTAACATGGCTAGCTCTCTGACACTCCTTTGTCCTGGGCATTTGACATATTTTCAAGACTGGGGACAATGGTGGGGAGTTGAAATTGATCTACTTTTACTCAAGCTGGTGCTAAGCAATGGAAGTGCTGGCAGCTTTGCTCAGGTCTTCTTTCCTTGAGCCCCAACTCCACTGTCAGTATCCAGATCCCTGAAAAGAGTATAAGGCCCTGACAAGCTTTGGGCAGGAACCTGGTAATTACATTATGGGGTTGCTCTTGAGACCTGTTTGCTATTCAAAGGGCCAGGCCATTCCCAACTGACATTCAACAACCAATACAACAAACACTATTGCACCGAACACTGCAGGGCCAATCCTACCCCTGATTACTTGGTGCATGCCTACTGACTTCCCTGCGATTTATAGCCTGGGAACTCAACTGGCCCTTACAGCCTTTTTCACTGTCACAGCAATCTCCAGAATATCATTGAACTAAATCATGGTACTGATTTATATGGACATGGATTTTTTTCCCTTCAATTTATTCCATCTATCTCCAGTTGCCCTATTTCGTGGGTCTGGTACCTCAAAATGTGATTAACAATTTTGGAGACTTACTCTTGACCATATTTATCCCTTTCTAGAGATCATTAATCAGTCGATCCAGAAATATCTGAGAGGCAGCACCTTTCAAACTATGCTGGTTTCAATTTGCATAAATCCTTTAATATTTGTTGAACAGACACACAGAAGAGAAACCCCAGGAAAGAAAAACACTGTTTAAAAGTAACTCAGTCTGGGGTCCCAGCCCGGTTCAGTGGCTGTGGGTGTGATTCTGATTATGCCCTCACAATCAGCAGGGTTGAAGTGGATGATGCTGGAGATTATTACTGTCAGCAGCATGACAACTCCCCTCTCACACAGTGATACAGACCAGCTCTAAAACCTGCCTGCGCAGTTCAATTAATGTTATAGATGCTTCCTCCATATTGGCTATATGTATTGCTGCCACATTTGCAGGGGGTGGTACGGAGAGGCTGGGCTACAGACACTGCTGTTCTTCCACAGCACCCCAGCCTGCAGCACAGACAGGAATAAGGACATCGCCCAGGTTGATACTTTGCAAATATCCCCTGAACTGATTTCCCCCCCAGGGTCAAAGATTTTGTTCCCCAAATCCCAAAAATGACTGTCACTTATTGCCCTAGGAACCCTCTGGGAGCATTTCAGAGGTAACAGACATGGGCAGCCCAGGGCTTCATTGGCAGTGACACCATGTGGGGGAAAGACGTGAGAATCTGAGCACTGGGGCACTTGGAGGCTGGGAAGCTTGTAGATGCAGCAAAGGAACAAGGAACAGTGCTCCCTATTTCTAATACATACAAGGTCTAACACACTGTAGAGAAGAGCCTATACATACAAGGTATCTGATATAAGATGTTGTTATAATACTTAAGCGGAGTTGTATGATTGGGAAGGCTGGGGATTAAGACCAAAAAGAACATCTGCCATTATGTGTAATACTGGGGAGACTGAGATAGCTGGCTCAGACCAGCCGGAGTGGCTATGTAGTCATACCCTGGCAGAGAGCAGAGTCACAGAGCAGATACAGGTTGGTAAGGCAAGCACTGATGGGCTCTTATAAGATTATGGTTTCCTTCTGGCAGTAGGATGTACGGTTGCTGAAAGCTACTATTATATTAACAATGTTTCATCTGGTTAAACAGAAGTCTCGAAGTATTTCAAAGTGAGCCATACTGAATAGATATATGGCTCATAATGGACCACAAGCTACATATGAGTCAGTGTGACACTGGTATAAAAAAAGCAAATATGATTCTGGGATGCATTAACAGGAGAAGGTCCAGAGAAGAGCAACAAAAATGATTAAAGGTCTAGAAAACATGAGATATGAGGGAAGACTGAAGGAACGGGGCTTGTTTAGTTTAGACAAGAGAAGACTGAGAGGGGACATGATAGCGGTTTTCAGGTATCTAAAAGGGTGTTACAAGGAGGAGGGAGAAAAATTGTTCTCCTTGGCCTCTGAGGATAGAACAAGAAGCAATGGGCTTAAATTGCAGCAAGGGAGGTTTAGGTTGGACATTAGGAAAAAGTTCCTAACTGTCAGGGTAGTCAAACACTGGAATAAATTGCCTAGGGAGGTTGTGGAACCTCCATCACTGGAGATATTTAAAAGCAGGTTAGACAGACACCTGCCAGGGATGATCTAGACTGTGCTTGGTCCTGCCATGATCTCACAAGGCCCCTTCCAGTTCTAGTTTTCTATGATCCTATGAAAATGACAGGGACTATTAGCCTAGGTCTATACAAGACCAGGCAGGTCAGCTTAAGGTACACCATTCAGCTACAAAAAATGAGTACCTGGATATGGCTTATTTTAACCCAAGCCGCCACGGCGTCTTGATAGCAGGAGGCCAACAGAAGCACACACTCCATTAAGTTTCCCTTACTCCTCACAGAATGAGGAGTACAGGACATCAGTAGGGGTCTGCCCTCAGCATTTGATTTGGGGGTTTATACCAGACCCACTAAATCGAACACTATAAGATCAACCTTCAGAGGGTCAATCCTCTCCATAGTATAGACATGCCTGCAATAGCCCTCCCTCAGGTGTTCCGTTCCGTATATCAATTCCTACCACTACACAGATTGGTTAGGAGCAAGCTAAGTTCTCCCAAAGAAATCAATGCAAACAGGATTGGAGCTGTAGAATCCACAAGAAAAATCTTAATCATCTTTCTTAATTCCAATCTGCTTTCTTCATATACAGCCAGTGTACAAATATAAAAACAGATGACACTATCCAAGACTGTTCAGTGGGCAGCAACAAGCTATTTTTTAATTGGAGGGAGACAACAGGCATTTCAAATGAGGAGTATTTTGAAGACAGCAGTGCTGAATGATCTACCAAGCGAGGCATTTAATGCAGAGGTTACTGCCGGGCTGCCACAGAAACTTGTTAAATGACAGACCAAGAGGCTGTTCAGAAAATTATCTTGCTAACAGGTGTCTGAAGTTACTCAAATAAATTTTTGCTTCTTTTTACATGTGTATAATCAGATTTAAGGTACTTCAACAACAAGCCACTTGGGCAACAGACCTGAAGTTCCACAGAATGGCCAGTAGGTGGCATCAGTTCCTGTACATCTATGGGAGCATCTGGCATTCCGGATTAGCTAATACAATCAAAATACCATGATGACATCATCACACACATCCAGACAAAATTAAGATAAATGAGTCTGCAGAGCCCTGTTCCCCTTCCACCACGCACCAGCATGAGAAGCAAGAATGAGGCTCTTTGGCTCATAAAACTTAGCCATCTTGTTTCATCTCTCTAGAATCAGGACAAATGTTCTGAAATAAGGCAACAAATCAGTTCTTTGAACACTGTTCTCCTCTGCAGGATACAAAGAAATCACATTGGGCTCCCTTTTCATCTTACAGCAAGCCAGGAGTAGCTCTGTTGAGGCAGACAGAGTTAAAGCAGTGTATCTGAGATCAGTCAGATCTATGGACTTTCTGAGACTTATTTGTATCTTGCCATGGGAGAATCAGTCCCTGTTTTTCTCAAAGGTGAGTCTGTCACAAAAGGTGAGACAGGATGTGCGTATAGTCATCCATGCAATACACATCCTTCCTGACTGTTCTTAGCTGCTAGTATTTTGTTTAACTCTCCAAGGGTTTGGTGATCAGCACTGGACGGGTCAGACCCATCAAAATGATTCCCCAGGCTCAGTTCATCCTGCTGTGAGTGCTCTGGATTTAGGATAAGAACTGGCCCAAGATGGGACTGGATGAATTAAAACTTATTGGCCTTTAAAAAATGAAAAAATCTAGAACCCTTGCCTATCGAATCCTAAATATTCCTTAGTTACACGAACTCCTGATCAATTCTTTTTCTTTTTCCATTTTAAATGAAACAAAGAGGGAAAGTACATTTTAAAGAAACAAGGGCCTGAAGAATAACCCATGGAAGGCAGTGTGTGTGTTTCCATGGACTTGTATCCAATTTGGATCAGGTCTGAAATGAGCATAATAAAATAATAGCTACAAGCTGAACAGGAGCTTCATAGCTAAGTGATGGGCTTTGGTCCCTATGCAAAGATGCATGTTATTAATATTAACACACAATATTGCTTACAGGAACATTCATATGGGTCTTGGATAATAGTCTACTCTTAACGCAAGGTGCTAGTGGAGACATTGTGATGATTCAAACTTCAGTATCCTGCTCAGGGTCACTTGGAAACACAGTCACTGTCATCTCCAAAGCTAGTTCAAGCCTAACTTGCAGCAGTAGAATCAATAAAAATTTATCCCGAACCCAACTGAAACATACAGAAGCTCATAAAGTCCTGACTTGTTATGCTTCTGCACCACAACCTGGGTCCCAGTACACACCAGTAAAGCCCTGTGCAAAGCCAAAAATGTGGATCCACATCAGATCTGCATCCACAATAATTAACTTGTATCTGGCCCACAAGCTACACTGCACCTTTTATACCCATCTGCCTCCACACTGCACCCTCAACCTACCACACTGTCAGAGCCCTGTACGGATGGAAAAGTTTGGCTCTGCATCCAATCTGTGATCCCCATAGATGTTAAACACTAGAGCCATACCTGTAGATGCTGATATATCCATGGATTTGTGGAGCTGTACACATCCCAGTGCCAGATTTATGCACAAACAAAACTACAGTTTAGCACCTCAGATTATGAGTGGCCTGTAAATAAAAAAAATTACTAGTTTTTAGTTGCATCCTCACCTATGAATTGGTATATATGCAAATGTAAACCTTTATTATTTCTGTTTTCTTTGTCCTTTCTGTTAGAATAATAAACTTTTTTGGTGATCCCATAGGGTCACTTAAACATGACATTGCTTACAGTCTCAGTACATCTTAATCCAGCCTGCAGTAGGTCTGCAATGGATTTCACTCACACAGTCAGTTTTGAGTGGAAATTTTGCAGAGATAGACACTCAAAAATTAAAGACACGGCAAACTGATCTACAAACTTTCCCCAGAGAGTTGTATTAACGGATGAAGGTTTGCGTGTCATTCTAGACAAACATCTGGAGATACAATGTGAGAAGAAACCAGAAAGGAGTCTTTACCCTGAAAGATTCTTCTTAAGTGTAACATGAACATCACTGCCCAGATGAACACACATACAATCATTGCTTAGTGGGACAGAGCACATCTCTTTAGATTGTGTTTACACCGTCAGACAAGAGTGGGGTAGATTGTTCTGACACTTCAGTATCCCAGTCATGTCACTGTCTATAGAAAACAGTCACCACTGGTTGCCAGGCCAGTACATATATTAAATCAGAAAAACGTAGGTACATAGTTCATCTATTATCCTTCCAATATAGTTTTCCTGGAGATGTTTAATAAGGATTCACTCACCAAGGCACTCTATGGGAAAGCAAAACAAGGTCGTTTCTGTCAGAGGTAACTCATGGTAGCACCGTGGGTAGGGGAACATTCTAATTGCTAAATGGGGTACTTCATCATGCTCTCGGCCTGTTCTCTGCGTGGCCCTTTCTGCTCCCCTTTCATGCAGGCACCAGTCACCTTTGTTTTCTGTTCATCTTTAGGCTTGAGAAAGGCACCAAATACATGTCCGATATTGATCTTTAAATACCCTTTCAAGAAATAAACCACTCAAATCAAACTTTGGAGAAGAAAAAATGAAATAATATATTTAAACGCAAATCTGAAAATGTAGCTCACATAGGAAAGCTGCTTCAATAGCAAAAGCAGCTTCAATATAATCTAAACGGGGAGGAGGGAGGTCAAAATCAGTCAACTATATTTTGTGAAATATTTAATAGGAATTTTCTTTTCATTTAACTTGAAGTTCTAGCAACATACTCATTTCAACCGTGACAATTCTGGGGGAAAAATTCCATTTCATTTTTTTCACATCTCCATTCCCACCACACACACTTTCCTCCTCCTCCTGGAAAAGACCTTCCTTCAGGGGCAGTACAGAATAGTGCAGAAATATTGAGACGGGATCAATGAACTGACAGTGTATAATTGAAAAACACTTGAAGTATTTTGTGCAATACTTCAGTCAGTTCTCCAATGTTTATGAAGAAAAACTTGATTTTCCACATATGCATAGCCAGATGGAGCCTTTATCATGTTTTACAAACTTTATCACAAACTTTATCATGTTTCCTTTCATAGCTGCTGGATGCTAAGTGATTTGAAAATCAGGCCACTTACTTTTGGTGTCTAAATATGGCTTTTTGGAGTCTAACATTAGGCCACCAGGTTTAGAAATTAACTTACATTCATGCCAACATCAAAACTATCAGAAGATTCACAGATACGGTACCCACAACTCTTGGTGCATAAGGGTCTCTAAGGTAACTCAGGACTAGTAGGAGACATGAGGCTAGAGGATGTTCTATTACCCAGTTACCATAAGGAGGGAGATTCTATCATTGATGGCATACACTGAGATTTCTAGTATAATAGTAAAACTAAGTTCATTAAATTTAAACTGGCATCCAGGCAACAATGTTGATCTATGGCCGCTTATTTCATTCAACCCTGTCAAGTGCCATTTCAACAGAACACAAGCATCAGGAATAGTTTGTTCCTACAACAGCTGTCATCGTGGGATGCTGATCCTAGGGATCGAAAAGATTCTGTGTTTATATAAACCATCTGACGAAATGGGGCACTAATCCGTGTTAAGATTTCTGCGTACTATGACTTCATAGACAATCTGTAATGATAACTCCAATTTTAATGCAAAATGAAGGAGCTGCCACAGGCCCTGTTGAGTTGAGGTTGTCATTACACTAATACCTCATCCCTTCCCTTTTTCTGAATGTTTTAGATCAGATGGGAATTTTCATATTTAATCTGAATTTGCATATTGCATATCCAACTTACATCCTATGCTGCTCTGAGCAGTTTTAAATGTTCTGTGTGGCTTGCTACACTGCATTGATCAGCATCTGGTCAGTCAGACTCATCAAGATGATCTCACAGGCTCACCTCATCTGGCTGATAGTGCTCTGGATCCAGGGTAAGAATCAAACCAAGAGGGAACTGATATGGTTATAAGCAAGATCCTAATTTAAAGAGAAATGAAAAGATATAGGGACCCCATCTAGCAAATTCTTAATATCCTTCAGAGGGTTCCATTAGCTTTGAGCATCTTTGTCTCATTTTAAGCTCCAATAAGAAGGCAAAACCATGTGTAAGATATTTGGGCCTGATGCAAAACCCATTAAATTGCACAGGAGTCTTTCCCTTGACTCAGCGTGCCCTAAATGTGTGACTGAAGAGCACTATAATGGCATAGCTGCCTCAAGTCTAATATTAGTCTTTCAGCCAAGTAAAGAGCTCTTGAAAATAGGAAATGTGCACAGGGGACTAAGAAGAAATAGCTTATTTGCTTTGACCTACTGTGTATTAAACCTCTATTCATTTTTACTCTATTTTTGGCTTTAGACTCCAGCGGGCAGATTGTGCTGACTCAGACTCCAGAATCCCTGGCAGTGTCTCCTGGAGACAGAGTCACCATCAACTGCAAAGCCAGTTCCAGCCTCACAAGCAGCAGTACAGGCAAAGAGCTCTTAGCCTGGTATCAGCAGAAATCAGGACAAGCTCCTAAACTCCTTATTTATTACGCTACCACCTTGGAAACTGGGGTCCCAGCCCGGTTCAGTGGCAGTAGATCAGGAAGTGATTACACCCTCACCATCAGCAAGGTGGAAACTGATGATGCTGGAGATTATTACTGTCAACAAGGCAAAAGCTTCCCTCTCACAGTGATACAGACCAGTACAAAAACCTGCCTGTGCTATTCTGTTCTATGTGACAGCTGCTTCCTCAGCAGGCACCTTCTCACCAAAAGTATTACACTTGAGGTCTGATCAGCCTTTCCGCAACTCAGTATTTGGGCCCAAGATACCCCTGAACTCCTGTTGCCCTTCTGCTTACAAGCCAAGTATGCTGTTGGAAAAACATCCTCCAATATTGAAGGTTTTTCCATCATGAGAATTAAGGATTTTTTTCTGGATTACATGAGTTTACAGAATCTCAAAAAGAATTCCTATTGCCAGTCCCATGGAGACTGTCTGAGCATTCCAGAAAGAAAATGTTCCAATGCAGTGTTCTTGTAGCTGTTTTGGTCCTTGGATATTAAAGAGATAAAGTGGGTGAGGATTTGCCATTTATTGGACCAACTTCTGTTGGTGAAAGAGAAACTGGTTTTGCTACACTGCTCTTCCTCATGTCTGGACTAGATTGTTTGAGAGTTTGTCTCTTCAACAGAAACTGGTCCAAAAAAAGATATTACCTCACCCACCTTGTCTCTCCAATGTGATAATGGCAGAGATGCCCAGTGAGGAGGCAAAATTGATGGCAGGTTCAAAGATTTTTCTGGACAAATATATATATTTTTAATTACTTTTTAAACTTTACAGAGATTTTAATAAACATTTATATTATTCTACATTATTCCAGAAATGTTCTAAAGTTTTACCACCAAAAATGTTATTTTAAATGTGTATGTAATTATACTTTTTGTTTTCACTATTTCATCACAAAGTTTGAAATTTTAAGGGGGAAAAAACAGACTCATTTTTTCACAGAAAGCAGTTCCTGGTTTTTCAGCCAGCTCTTGCCCTGAGGCAGCCTCAGGCTAGGAGGGATGCAGAGGTAGAGTTCAAGCCCTAGAAAGAAAAGCCTCATGTTGCTCTCCAGCAAGCTGCTATGATGGACTCGTGGATAGAGGACAGACTGCAAAAGGAGTTACATTCTCCTCTCATCTGCTAAAGGAAAGGATGCAGCAGTGGGGGCCTTCAACACAGGAAAGTAGTACAAGAGGGACAGTTCCAAGGTCTCCAAGATGAGCTCAAAGGGCAAACAATAAATATAGTATTTGTATAAATTCATAGATGTTGAAGTCAGAAGGTCCCCTTGAGACAGTCTAGTCTGACCTCCTGCACAACATAGGCCAGAAAATTCTAGATAGTAATTCCTGTCTTCTGATTTACCGATAGCATTTCTTTTAGGAAGAATCTAATTTTGCAGATAATCCACCATATCTCTAAGTGAGCCGCTCCAATCACAATTACCCTCATGATTTAAAAACCTGCTCTTTATTTTTATCTTGAATTCGCTGAGCTTCAGCTTCCAGGGACTGGCTCTTCTTAGGGCTTTGCCTGCTAGATGAAAAAACTCTGGTACTGAGTACCTTCTCCTTGTGTAGGTACCTACAGACCACGGCCAAGCGGGCTCAATAAAACTTCCCATCTCTACTCTGTTCTGTCACATGACAACATTGCTCTCTTGCCCATCTGCTCCCATCAGTTGACACGATGAAAGGAAAATGAGAGAGAGAAGCCAGGTATGTTCGGGAAAGGGCATGTTTGTTGGTAGTCAATTTAAATTTGACATAAAACACCCCCCAGGACACTCAGCCCAAATGCATCTGAGTTTAGGTCATTTATATTAGAAGTAAATCCATTGACTTGGGCTCCTACAGACACCATAAAAAGCTACATTGACTGTTCATCACCCCCTCCACAAACAGAGTCCTATCATTTACACTGTAGATATGCCTGTTTCATAGAACTGGAAGGGACCTTGCGAAGTCATCAAATCCAGTCCCCTGCCCTCACAGCAGCACAAAGTACCATCACCTGACAGATTTGCCCCAGATACCTAAATGGCCCCCTCAAGGATTGAACTCACACCCCTCGGTTTAGCAGGCCAATGCAATGGGCAGGGAAATTGCAAACCATATGCCTATTCCTTCTACTAATTAGTTTACCTCTTAACCTGTCAACACATATACAGGGAAAACAACAGGCAGTAACTACCAGTCATGGCTGATGAGTTACAGTTTCCCAGTACCTCATATGCAGGAAAACCCTATAGAACAGATATATGCCATAAAGTAACATATTTAGTCTTATCTATTGCTCTCTGTGCACAGATCTCAAAGTGCTATATAGTACAGGGTCAAAATTGTTATCCAGGGGGAAACTGAGGCAGGGGTGGGGAGTGCATTTAGACAAGCTCCCCAAGCAAGTCAGTGGCAGAAGTCAGTGCCTGTCCAAATGGAGCACAGGCAGCTAAGCCTGATGCAACATCAACTCTTTCACCGCTCCCTTGTGCTATGGGGAAACACCCTTGGAAATCGAGGTGTCCAAAAGATGGTGTCCAGGGGAAGGTTTGGCAGCCCAGTAGGTGAAAGTTGAGGGATAAGTGCAAATTTCCTACATTCAGCACAGAAACACAGATTAGATTTCCCCCTCCCCATATACATACACATACATACTCATTGCCTCAATCAACTATGCATCCTGCAGGATGTGCCAAAAACTGTGGCTGACTGTGCTGCTTCATCTACAAGGGACCACAGAGACTAAATAGATTGGAGAGAGCTCTAGGAGAACGTCCTGATACTTTTCTGAAGAAAAGTATCTAGTTCTTTAGATCACATTCAACTCGCAGCCCCTAATATCCCACTCCTCTGCCCAGGGATAATCAGAACTCCATGGGATATATCAGCGTGAAATTAAAGGTCCTTGTAAAGACCCTTCTGTGAATCTACTCAAGATTGGGCCAAGACACACACATATTGGAGACTGACACTTGAGATCCACTTCCACATTGGAAGTTTATTTGAGGGCTCTCAGACAGCAACAAACCACAAAATTCACTATCCACACACAAGTTCTTCCATCATTTGGAGCCATTCGCTTCTTGGATTTTTCTGCAAGCTCAACTCTACTCTAAAACACTGCAAAATATAGGACAAAGTTCTACCACTCTTAGCCTAAGCTCCACTACATACGTCTCTTCGGCACACGTGTGCCAGTATGGCTGTGATTTTTGACTAGCCCAGCTATGTTACCAACTGGCCTACTGTAAATGCAGTTATGCAGGTATAAACATGTTTTCCTCCATCTAAATTATGTCTCTTGGGGGAACTTCTGTGACCTGTGCTGGCAGAAGCTGCAGCCAGGCAAGGAGAGTTTGTCATCATAATTCAACCGCTATAGCTCTGTTTACTTTTCTACTGTAAACAAGACTTCACTCATGTGGAGATGAGACCATGTTAATAAGAAATTACGTAAGAGATGTTGTTAAAGGACAAGAGATGTTAAGCAGAGATGCACAGTGGAGTATATTGGGGGACAAAGACCACAATGACCATACACTGCTGCATGCACAGAGACACTGTTGAACTCCTTGACAGAAGCTCCATCCAGATCTTTGTCAAATGGCTGAGCTGGAAGGGTCACTGATTGGCTCATTAGGAAAGGAGGTGCAAGGTCACAGAAGGGCTTGTAGAGCTAGACTGAGATCAGAAATGGAGGCTCTGCTGGGCTTTTATAAGCTCACCTTTTGCCTTTGGCAATAAGACACAGAGGGGTTATTGGAAGCTTCTGTTAGGTTACTATAGGGCTTATTTTGACTACATAAAAGCTTCATAGTTTTTCAGCCCCAGAAATCAAAGGCCCTGAAGGCATCTGTAGGGCCCTTGAAAGAGAGTTTGG